GTACCGTTGTTAAAAGCTTCTCCATGATGAAGCTACAACAAAAGCTCTAGAAAAGATTACCATTTTTTTTCTACAGGTTAGAGCACACTATTGACTTTATTATGGTGTTTGTTGCTCCAGACTGTGTTTGTTGCTCCAGACTGTGTTTGTTGCTCCAGACTGTGTTTGTTGCTCCAGACTGTGTTTGTTGCTCCAGACTGTGGTCGTCAGTGGTCAGTCATCACGTGAGGTCACAGACCCTGAGCTGCTTTGGGGATTAGCGTGGACGGTTACAAAGCATGGCTTGCTTCTGCAGTGTTTTAAAAATTGAGGTTGGAGAGTTGAAGGAGGAGGTCTTGCTTCTCCAGGAGGAGATTAGGAGGCTGAAGGTCCACCTCAATGGGTCTGGGAGAGAGTGTGAGGTGGCTGGAGTTGTGGGGAATGAGGCTTCTAGCAGTGAGGTGCAGTCTGTCTCTCGCTGTGAGGAGGCTGTAGTTGGGGAGGTAGCAACGGCTACCAGCAGTGAGGTGCAGCCCAGCACCTGCTACAAGTGGCGAGTGGTTCACAGTAATGGGAGGCGCATCAGAGTAAGGAAGTTAAGAGTGAAGATCTGAAGGTAGGAAATCGCTTCTCTGTTCTTCAGGATGAATGTACTTCAGTGGCCAGTGAAGGTAAGGGTACTACTGCCCCTGCTAATGGAGGTAAGCACATTCTTGTGGTTGGTGACTCTCAGGTAAGATATATTGACCGTGCTTTTTGTAATAGGAATAAGATGATGAGAGATAGAGTGTGCTTCCCTGGAGCTGGTGTTGGGGACATTGTCAACAGGCTGGATAATATCATGTCAGGTAATGGGAACAAGCCCATTATCTGTCTCAGTGCTGGTGGAAATGATATTGGGAAGGGTAGGAGAGAAGAGCTGCTAGATAAGTACAGGTCAGCTATAGATTTCATTAAGTCTAAGGGAGGGATCCCAATCATATGTAGCATCTTGCCTAGAAGGGGAGTAGGAAATGAATGGTTGTCTAGGGCAATTGGTGTAAATTGCTGGCTAGACAGATACTGCAAGGAACTTGCAATCCCATTCATTGACAACTGGAACAACTTTTATGGCAAACATGAAATGTATGCAAGGGATGGGGTACATCTCTCTGGGGCAGGGGTGGTAGCACTTGCAGACTCGATTGAGAAGGCCATTGGTGAAATGCCTATGATTTTAAACTGATGGAAGATAGAGGTATGGGTGTGTGTGGGAAACAAGCGGGTTGCAACACTAGGGTTGGAAATAGTAAATGTATAAAAGGCATTCAGCATGAAGTTATAAATAAAGACAATAGATCAGGTCAGCAAACAAAGGGGGACAGCAGAGGGCAGCAAGGGACTAGCTCCCTTAAGGTTTACTATACTAATAGCAGGAGTGTAAGAAATAAGATAGATGAGCTAAGATTAATTGCAAGTGCAGGAAACATAGATATTATTGCTATAACAGAGACCTGGCTCGATCTGAAAGATAGAGAGATGCCCTCTGAATGTCACATACAAGGCTATAAATTATTCCACACTGACAGGGTCAACAGGAAAGGTGGTGGAGTGGCGATGTATGTCAGAGACAATTTAAATTGTTGTGTTAGACAAGATATTAAATTAGAAGCGTCAGCCACTGAATCTGTTTGGTTACAGCTTCTCGAGGGCCGAGAAAAACTAATTTTGGGTGTGATTTACAGGGCCCCAAATCTTGATAGGGAGTGCAGTAAACTTCTATGGGACGAAATTCGTAAGGCATCTACATACGAAAATGTTGTGCTAATGGGAGATTTCAACTATAGACAGATTGACTGGAGCAATTTGACAGGAAATTTAGAGTCAGGTGACTTTCTTGATACGATCCAGGATTGTTTTTTAAAACAGTTTGTGACAGAGCCAACTAGGGGAAATAACCTCCTTGACTTGGTTCTTGCCAGTAGGGAAACACTAATTAATAATCTTGAGGTTAATGATGAGCTTGGGAAAGTGATCACAAATCACTCAGTTTTAATATATCATGGAATTCCCCTAATAATGGCAATCAAGTCTCCGTCCCTGACTTTCGCTTGGCTGATTTCATAGGACTGAAAAATTACTTAGGTGGGCTGAACTGGAATGACCTGACTAAGGGTCAGGTAGGTGGTGATGGTTGCCGATATGATGCTTTCCAGGGCATAGTTCTAGCTGCTCAGTCAAATTATGTTCCAAATAGGGAAATCAGATCAAACAAAAATGATCCTAAATGGATGAACAATAGATTAAAATATCTGATTGGTCAAAAGAGAGGCATATATAGGCAAATCAAAAGAGGAGAGGGGCAATTAAGAAATCGATATATTCAGTTAAAGAGAGAAATAAAAAAGGGAATTAGAAAAGCAAAAAGAGATTATGAGGTTAAAGTTGCAAGAGAATCGAAGACTAACCCAAAAGGATTCTTTCAGGTATACAGAAGTAAGATCAGGGACAAGATAGGCCCACTCAAAAGTTCCTCGGGTCAGCTCACTGACAGTGATAAGGAAATGTGTAGAATTTTTAACACATACTTCCTCTCAGTTTTTACACAGGAGGATACCAGCGATATTCCAGTAATGATAAATTATGTAGAACAGGACGATAATAAACTGTGCACGATTAGGGTCACAAGTGACATGGTCCTTAGGCAAATAGATAAATTAAAACCTAACAAATCCCAGGCCCTGATGAACTGTATGCAAGGGTTCTAAAGGAATGTAAAGAGGAGCTTAGCACACCTTTGGCTAATCTTTTCAACATATCACTACAAACTGGCATGGTGCCAGATAAGTGGAAAATGGCAAATGTGATACCTATTTTCAAAACAGGTGACAGGTCCTTAGCTTCGAACTATAGACCAATAAGCCTAACCTCCATAGTGGGAAAATTTATGGAATCAATAATTGCCGAGGCAGTTCGTAGCCACCTTGAAAAGCATAAATTAATCAACGAATCTCAGCATGGTTTTACAAAGGGGCGTTCCTGCCTTACGAATTTATTAACTTTTTTCACTAAGGTATTTGAGGAGGTAGATCATGGTAATGAATATGATATTGTGTATATGGACTTCAGTAAGGCTTTTGACAGGGTCCCACATCAGAGACTATTGAGGAAAATTAAAGCACACAGAATAGGAGGAGAAATTTTTTCCTGGATAGAGGCATGGTTGACAAATAGGCAGCAGAGAGTTTACATAAATGGGGAGAAATCAGAGTGGGGAAGCGTCACGAGCGGTGTTCCACAGGGGTCAGTGTTGGGCCCCCTGCTGTTCACAATCTACATAAACGACATAGATGAGGGCATAAAGAGCGACATCGGCAAGTTTGCCGATGACACCAAAATAGGCCGTCGAATTCATTCTGACGAGGACATTCGAGCACTCCAGGAAGATTTGAATAGACAGATGCAGTGGTCGGAGAAGTGGCAGATGCAGTTTAATATAGACAAATGCAAAGTTCTAAATGTTGGACAGGACAATAACCATGCCACATATAAACTAAATAATGTAGATCTTAATATTATGGATTGCGAAAAAGATTTAGGAGTTCTGGTTAGCAGTAATCTGAAACCAAGACAACAGTGCATAAGTGTTCGCAATAAAGCTAATAGAATCCTTGGCTTTATATCAAGAAGCATAAATAATAGGAGTCCTCAGGTTGTTCTTCAACTCTATACATCATTGGTTAGGCCTAAATTTAGATTATGCTGCACAGTTTTGGTCACCGTATTACAGAATGGATATAAATTCTCTGGAAAATGTACAAAGGAGGATGACAAAGTTGATCCCATGTATCAGAAACCTTCCCTATGAGGATAGACTAAGGGCCCTGAATCTGCACTCTAGAAAGACGTAGAATTAGGGGGGATATGATTGAGGTGTATAAATGGAAGACAGGAATAAATAAAGGGGATGTAAATAGTGTGCTGAAAATATCTAGCCTAGACAGGACTCGCAGCAATGGTTTTAAGTTGGAAAAATTCAGATTCAGGAAGGATATAGGAAAGTACTGGTTTGGTAATAGAGTTGTGGATGAGTGGAACAAACTCCCGAGTACAGTTATAGAGGCCAGAACGTTGTGTAGCTTTAAAAATAGGTTGGATAAATACATGAGTGGATGTGGGTGGGTGTGAGTTGGACCTGATAGCTTGAGCTACCAGGTCGGTTGCCGTGTTCCTCCCTTAAGTCAATGTGACCTGACCTGACTAGGTTGGGTGCATTGGCTTAAGCCGGTAGGAGACTTGGACCTGCCTCGCATGGGCCAGTAGACCTTCTGCAGTGTTCCTTCGTTCTTATGTTCTTATGTTGCTCCAGACTATGTTGCTCGAGGCAGTGTTTGTTGCTCGAGGCAGTGTTTGTTGCTCCAGACTGTGTTTGTTGCTCCAGTGTTTGTTGCTCGAGGCAGTGTTTGTTGCTCGAGGCAGTGTTTGTGGCTCGAGACAGTGTTTGTTGCTCGAGGCAGTGTTTGTTGCTCCAGACTGTGTTTATTGCTCCAGACAGTGTTTGTTGCCCCAGACTGTGTTTATTGCTCGAGGCAGTGTCCGCTGCTCGAGGCAGTGTCCGCTGCTCGAGGCAGTGTCCGCTGCTCGAGGCAGTGTCCGCTGCTCGAGGCAGTGTCCGCTGCTCGAGGCAGTGTCCGCTGCTCGAGGCAGTGTCCGCTGCTCGAGGCAGTGTCCGCTGCTCGAGGCAGTGTCCGCTGCTCGAAGCAGTGTCCTGCTCGCTGTCGGAGGCAGTGTCCGCTGCTCGAGGCAGTGTCCGCTGCTCGAGGCAGTGTCCGCTGCTCGAGGCAGTGTCTGTTGCTCCAGACTGTGTTGCTCCAGATTGTGTTTGGGAGTGAGATGCTTGTATATTTGATAAGGAAATAAACAGGCAGTAGATGGAGGTAGTCATTAATGTGTTGTAGACCTTAAATGTCTCGAGAAAAGATCATTGCATGCACACAGCCATTTCCTCTTGTTTGTCCCCATACTTCATTATATTTTTTCAGGCCGTGGGCAGTTTCTCGTGACCTACATCTTCGTGCAAATTTAGGAAGAATGACGTAAGTGCCAGAAAATTTTTATAAACTTGTGTTTGCTTTTGAATGATACAGCGTAAGGCATGTTTAAATTAATGGGGTGCTGAAATTATTATTTACAACAAAATACAGAACGGTACTTGCATAATGTTGAAGGTATTACAGCACCTGTGCTGTGAAGTTCAAGTAAAGTCTTTTCTAAATACAAAAATGATTACTAGTTTCTTTTATTTTTTAAGAGGTTCCTCTACATTTCGTTCCTGATAAATATTTAAGCTGTGATTGCATTATGGAGTGAGATTTATGAAGGGATTTGTGGAAACCGGTTAGCTGGGCTTGAGCCCTGGAGGTACAGCACCTGCACTCTGAAGGAAGGGTGAGGATATTGCACTTCAGAGGGCCATCTGAATTGTGATGTCGGCATGCTTCTGGCAAGATAAGATTGAATAAAGGGCAGTGAAAATGTTCCTTCTATTTTTGGGTCACCCTGCCTTGGTGGGAGACAGCTGGTGTGCTAAAAAAAAATCTTTGATGCAGTATGCCCCCCCCAACTTGTGGTGTCCAAGCAATGATCAGAGCATCTTGGAACCAATTAATTTCTTGCGAATGCCGATCTGCATCTACAGACATTTATACACAAGTTATTTTCAGTTGTTTATTTTATCTCCATTTTGTTTTCCACAATTGCATTGATAGTTTGTACATTTATTTTGTGCACGTGTGGAGGGCTCATATTTGTTAGAGATGGTCATCAACTGTAAATTTAATAATTTAGATTTTGTTAGATGTGAGTTCTGCATACTGTATTGTATTGCTTTTGTTTCCATTAGTTTTTCACAAAATACAGTGATATTTTGTTCTTATTTATTTTCTGGATATGTGGATGACTTTGTTTATTTGGTAGAGATGGGTAAACTGCTGTAGACTTAATCATAATTTTGTAAAAACTGAATTATAAAAATTGCACTGTATATGCCATTTTATTCTGCTCTTATTTTTATTATTTGCATTGATACTCTGTCTATGTTGTGCATGTGTGCTAGGGCTACATTTGTTTGGTAGAGACTGGTCAAGAACTGTCATTTTGCATCTGTAAATTAGTCAGGAGTGGTAAATTTACTGTAAATTGGTCAAGAACTGCAAATTTGGTATTGAAAATTGGTCAAGAGCTGTAAATTTAGTACTGTTTAGTCATGTTGACGGCAGTGAGGGGACTTGAGCTAGAGTTCGTCATGGCCACGCTAGCTGGAGATTCGTCTGTAAAAACTTGTATTTGTGGTCACAGTGGTGCCTATGTTAACCTTCCTATGGTGTAGAAATATACCTAGTTGGACGAATCTTATTGTGGCTAGCTGGTCCAGTGGCTAACGCGACGGTCTGGAGTTTTGAGACTCTCTGACCGCGGGTTCACATCCCCCCCATGGTATGTTTTTTTTAATACATTGTTGTGTTGGGCAGTGTGTCAACCTTGTCTCGTATGTGATCAAGGTTGACATGTGGACTCTCCCACACTACAGCCCGGGCACACAACCGCCTTCACCACATGTGGACTCTCCCACACTACAGCTCGGGCACACAGTCACCTTCACCACACCTTCATCACATATTCTTGCCATAACTAGGAGAGAGTGGAGAGCATTTGCAAAGAGTGGTGTGTTGAATATACAATATGTGTAATTGGAAGGAGGGAGAGAGAGGGGGAGACAGTTGTGGTAATGTATTTCCCTCGCCACAACCCTCCTGCATGCTCAGAGAAACAGTGGAGTGCTGTACATTGCTTTTAATTTCATTCCTAAAAGAAGAAGAAATTTAGATGAATACTGTGTTATGGTTTGGGAACATCTTGTAATATAAAATGGGTGTCCATGGGAAAGTAGGTTGAGTTCTAAACACTGGTGTTACAATTTTCAGGAATATTATATTTGTCACTTTCACTTTAATGTATGGAGTATACACTGAGGAGAGATTGATTTCACTGATTTTAGGTCATCATTGTAATCACAAGGCAGCAAGTGTTAAGAGCTCTTTTGTGGCAGCCATACATCACAAGTTGTTAAATTTATTCACAGTATGTACAACTTGCTTAACCCTTTCAGGGTTGGCAGGCCCTGTCAGAGACTTGTTCTCAGGGTCGGCCAAATTTAAAAAAAAAAATTATTTTTTTTTTTGAACATTATAGGCTAAACAAAAATTTTTTACCATCAATACTTACCGAGATATGGAGGCGTGAAGTTGACAGAAAATACCCAGTACAGTGGACCCCTAGTTTGCGATATTAATCCGTTCCTGAGAGCTCATCGTAAACCAAAATTATCGGAAAGTGAATCAATTTTCCCCATAAGAAATAATGGAAATCAAATTAATCCATGCAAGACACCCAAAAGTATGAAAAATAAAAATTTTACCACTGAAGAAGACATGCACAGTTTGTGGTATGTACTCTACTAACAATAGAATACATGACACTTACCATTAATAAAGATCTGGTGATGATTGATGGGATGGGAGGAGGGGAGAGTGTCGAACTTATTGTTTAGAAGGGGAATCCCCTTCCATTAGGACTTGAGGTAGCAAGTCCTTTTCCGGGGTTACTTCCCTTCTTCTTTTAATGCCACTAGGACCAGCTTGAGAGTCACTGGACTTCTGTCTCACAACATATCTGTCCATAGAGGCCTATACCTCTCGTTCCTGTATGACTTTCCTAAAGTGGTTCACAACAGTGTCATTGTACAGGTTGCCAACATGGCTTTCAGTAGCTGTGTGAGGGTGATTTTCATCAAAAAAGGTTTGCACTTAAAGCCACTTCGCACACATTTCCTTAATCTTTGAAGTAGGCAACTTCTTCAATTTCTCCATCCCCTCCTCCAAAGCAGTTTCCTTAGGTCTGGCCTCTTGCTGTTGAAGATGATCTAGCAGCTCATCAGTAGTTAGTTTGTCATTGTCCTCCTCCACCAACTCTTCCACATCCTCCCCACTAACCTCCAACCCCAAGGACTTCCCCAATGCCACAACGAATTCCTCAACTGGCATAGGATTCCCAGGGTTAGCCTCAAACCCTTCGAAATCCCTTTTGTCTACACATTCTGGCCAGTTTTTTCCAGGCAGAGTTCAATGTCCTCTTAGTTACTCCCACCCAAGCCTTACCTATAAGGTTTACACAATTCAGGGTATTAAAGTGATCCTTCCAAAACTCCTTTAGAGTCAATAGAGTCTGTGGTCACTTCAAAGCACCTTTCAAACATAGCTTTTGTGTGCAGTTTCTTGAAGTTGGAAATGACGTGCTGGTCCATGGGCTGCAGGAGAGGAGTGGTATTAGGAGGCAAAAACTTGACCTTAATGAAGCTCATGTCCCCAGAAAGTCGCTCTGCCTAGTCTGTAGGATGACCAGGGGCATTGTCTAATACCAGGAGGCACTTAAGATCTAATTTCTTTTCAAATAGGTAATTTTTCATATTGGGAGCAAATGCATGGTGTAACCAGTCATAGAAAAAGTCTCTAGTGACCCATGCCTTAGTGTTTGCCCTCCACAGCACACACAAATTAGCCTTGAGGATATTCTTTTGCCTGAACGCTCTGGGAGTTTCTGAGTGATACACCAATAAAGGCTTCACTTTGCAATCACCACTAGCATTGGCACACATCAGAAGAGTAAGCCTGTCTTTCATAGGCTTATGTCCTGGGAGTGCCTTTTCCTCCTGAGTAATGTAGGTCCTGCTTGGCAATTTCTTTCAAAACAGGCCTGTTTTGTCGCAATTAAACACTTTTTCAGGCTTAAATTCTTCACTGTCTGTGTACTCCTTGAATTCCTTCACATATTTTTCAGCTGCTGTTTGGTCCGAACTGGCAGCCTCACGATGCCTAATCACACTATGTATGCCACTACGATTCTTAAATCTATCAAACCAACCTTTGCTGGCCTTAAATTCACTCACATCACCACTAGTTGCAGGCAATTTCTTTACCAAATCGTCATGCAACTGTCTAGCCTTTTCACAAATGATCGCTTGAGAGATGCTATCTCCTGCTATCTGTTTTTCATTTATCCACACCAATAACAGTCTCTTAACATCTTCTAACACTTGCGGTCGCTGTTTCGTAATCACAGTTGCACCTTTTGCAGCAACAGCTTCCTTGATTGTCATTTTCCTGGTCACTATAGTAGAGATGGTTGATTGGGGTTTTGTATACAACTTGGACAGCACGGAGACACGCACTCCACTTTCGTACTTTGCAATTATCTCTTTCTTCATTTCAGTAGTCATTAGCACCCTTTTTCTCGAAGAGTTGGCACTAGAAGCTTTCTTGGGGCCCATGGTGACTTATTTTGCAGAAACAAGCACCAAAAACACTGTGATAATATGGAATGTGCCGAATGTATCCTTAGATGCGAGCACACTGGCTGGCTTGTAAACACTGGCACACACGGGGCAGTTCAGGCCACACGTGGACACGTCTCAGATGAATTGCGTATACCGGGTTTTGTATCGGGAACCGAGGCAAAATTTTTGCGATACAATGCATCGAATACCAGATTTATCGGATGCTGATGGCATCGCAAACTGGGGGTCCACTGTATGTGGTATTATTTTTTAATTTTTCTTTTTCCAAGTAACTTTTATGGCCTGTGAGACCAATATGATCAGTATTTTGTAAGTTATTTCTTTTTCAATACTACACAATAACGGCATAAACACTGTTGTCATCATTTTGTTTACAGAAAATATTTACACAAACGATATGAAATGTTGTTTTTACTATTTTTCTATATTTTATATACACACATACAGTCACAGGGAATATTTCTAGAAGTTCTGCAGCCTGTGGAAGTCTTTGAAACATGGTGTCATGCACAGTGGTGTTTTACACTCCTCACACATAAAACGAGTGTCTCTGCGTTGTTGTGGGTGTTTTTTTTTGTATGTGCACAGACGTAACACCCCTTCTGAGCCTTTCTTGAAAGCAGTAGCAGGCAGTTTTACTAGGAAGTGATCACCATGCTTCAAATGAGAAGGAAGTTGTTGATAATTTAGTGGGCAGTCTATTGCAGGTGTTGTTCCTTGGTACTTGAATACTATTTGTCTGATGACAGACAAACGGAATTCGCCATATGGTGGTTTGTTTCTGGTCCTCATCTTGTACATATTATAAGCATTGAGCATGGAAATGTCCAGAAGATGAAAAAAGAGTTTTATGTATGACTTATAACTCTTGCGAACACAATCAGCAAGCCCAATCTGCGTGTCACATTTGTCCACTGAACGTATATTGAGGGTGTAGTCCATCACAGCTGCAGGTTTTAGAATGGGTTCATTGCTTTCTCTATGCTGCCTGCCAGTGTCTGCCATTTCATTAGGGTGAACTGATGACAGCAGTGTGACATCTCGTTTGCCATGCCACCGAAATGCCATGATGTCATTGGCAGCAAATGCCTGCACCTCGCCTCTACGAGTGCCAGCGTCAAACCTGGGCATGTGTTTACGATTTGCACGCACTGCCACACACATCTGTCATGTCCACTCGCAAAAAATCACTGAGTGTGGGGCTTGTGTACCAGTTATCAGTATATAATGTATGCCCCTTACCAAGGTATGGTTCTATCATTGTTCTAACCACATCACCAGAGATGCCCAGTAACTTCCTGGTATTTTCCAATGTATAACTTCCGGTGTACACAATAATATCCAATACCAGACCACTGTAACAATCACAAAGCACAAACAACTTTATACCAAAGCGTTTCCTCTTGCTTGGTATGTACTGCTTGAAAGAGAGTCTTCCTTTGAACAGAATCAAAGACTTGTCAATTACAAGCTTCCTGAAGGGATAAAAATACATATTGAATTTCTCTTTAAGATACACAAACACATTCCTAATCTTATATAACCTGTCGTTTCTGTCAGGCCTGGTTTTGTCTGAGAAGTGAAGCATACGTAACAATAGCACAAATCGATTCACTGGCATTATATCACTGAAACCTGGGGTTGCAATCAGGTGGTCTGTTTACCAGTGTGATTTGACACTGTGCTTAAACACATGTGGCATAAGCATTATTGTGGCAGAGAAAAGATACATCTCAGCCACAGTTGTCTCCTTCCACTGGTGTAGACGTGATTTTGGTGAAAGTGTTTGCCATGGTGTACTTGTAGTATGTGTTGCTTTCCATGACAATACTTTCCATCAAGTGTTCGTCAAAGAATAATTGGAAACGTTCCAGTTCAGTGGCATTGTTCCCCAGTATACAACATGGCCGTATTCCACTTTGGCTTTCATCAAACTGGTGGGGATTTGGAACAAAATTGACAGCTTCCTGCCAATCTGGTCTGCTGGTGGGTACTGGACATTGACAGGTGGTTGTGGTTGTGGAGGTTGGTGTGGTGGGTGGGTGGGGGATGGTGGCCTTTGTTGTAGATCAGCTGAGGCAGCGGCGTGGGTGGCAGCATGGCCCACTTCTGGTGCCTCACGGCCGGCACCACCACTACCACCACCATGCACATTTTCCATCGCAATTACAACACTATCATCGTCATTTTCACTGTCTGTTCCTGTTGTACAGCCATGGGATGTACTCCGAGACGTACTCCCCCTTGGAATAGCATATGGCACACTGCCAGAGCTCATATATCGTTGTATATACTGACGCTTCACTGGGGAATATTGCACTTCACTATCACTACTGGAACTGGTTTGAAGAACTTGTAGTTCATATTCACTATCACTATCATCACAAATGCTAACATCGGAGTCCGGGATTTGGGAAAATAGGAGTTTCCTCTTTGATTCTGGTACAACTGAGCATGAACAAGACGGCCCAGCAGCAGAGGTGGAAGGCTGAGGGTTGTCTGGGTTTTCATCACTATTACCGATTTTATGGTCATTAGTTTCGGTCAAAACCTCACCAAAACCTTGAAACTCATCTTCACTGGCACTTTCATCTGTATTAGAACTGTCACTGGGGAACAAAAGTGTCCCAATTCACCGAGGAGTGAGGAGCTTCTTACCGCGAGGCATGGTGGACAAGGTCTACTAAAATGGCGTTCCACAATGTGGCACTGGGTCCCAGATTTTTTTTCTACTGTGCACACCGACCACACACACCCATTCTCTCACATCTAGGCCTACCTGCCTTTTCCCGAGAGATTTGAAGGCACTAGAATTTGTGTGTACTAGTACGTCGAAAACCCTGGCGCATAAGCCGTACTAGTACGGCCGAAACCCTGAAAGGGTTAAATAAAAAAATGATAGCACTGTACTTTTACGGCAGTGGTGATTCACATTGAACACTTGTATAGGGTATGCTTGGGGCAGCCTACTGTACATGGACTGCATGGATTAACTTCATTTTTTATGTTAAGGAAAGACTTTTTCTTATTTTTTTGTTTTTTGTTGTAAATTACTTCAGTAATGCATTTGGGGGAGCTTTTAATTAAGTTTTTAAGACGGTTGAATGCATATGTGCAGGTAACCACTGGTAAGGCATGGCTGAATGATAAATATTTTTTCATAAAAAAAAAAAAAAAGTGGTTTCAGGCTAAATTATTTGAAACAATTTTCAGTGTAAATACATGTATATAAACTAGAGCATAAGTGTAACACTTAGTTTATCAGTATCTTTTAATTCAGTTTTTCTGAACCCATTTATACTGTACCTGACATAATTTCAGGAGCTAAAATATGTTGGTCACTGAGGTGATAAACAGGCCAGATTTTTCTCACTGCAGTGAATGAGTTGGTTTCCATGATTTAACCCCACCAGAAGACTTACTAGTACAGTATAAAGTCTTGTCTGGGCCATTTGAAGAATTGGGACGTTCTTTTAACCCTTTAACTGTCGCAACCCCAAATCCTGAGGTGTCTCCTGGTGTCGCAAAATATTTGAAAAAAAAAAAAAAAAAAATTCTTATGAAATGATAGAGAATCTTTTCCCAATGGTAATGACACCAAATGTATGAAATTTGATGGAAAACTTATGAAATATGCTCTTGTGAAGTTAGCGACCTTGGCAACATTTACGCATTGGCGATTTCGCCCACTTTGAGCCCTATTTTCAGTCAATTTCATTGTTCCAGTCCACCAAACTCATAGCTATTTCTTTAGAACTCAGTTTGTTCTATCGATTGAGTACAAGAAACTGCCCATTTACCGATTTCAGCTACCCAATAAAGTGATCAGAAATTGGCAATTTGGCCAATATCATGCAAATTGGAAATGTCAATTTCAAAATAATAATATAAACCTTGCTATAATGGAATTTTGAAATAACATGCAAAATCTGCTGGGTAAATTGTACTTTAAACATGTTTATTTTCTATGTTTAGAGCAGTACATTTCTAAATTATGTAATGGTACAATATTATATTAGATTCAACACTCGAACAATCCCTCCTGTAAGCTGTTGTATCAAAAGTTTACATAGCACTCATAGCTTGACACTTTAATCCAAGTTTCATATGTTTAATACACAATATACAAATACACCTACCATCCGACTTACGACCGAGTTCGGTTCCGAGAAACCGGTCGTAAGTCGAAATGGTCGTAAGTCGAACTTTACTACTGAATATCAACAAAACATTTTTGTAATGACTTTTTTTTTTGTTTTATTTTGGTATTTCATGTTTACTTTACTTTTTATGCTGTTAGTACTGTATTTTATACTGTAAGGTTTAGGATAAACACTGTGTACAACACAAATACATGTAGTTGTTTATTTCCCAGAAATTTGGCATAAAAAACACGGTCGTAAGTCGAGTGGTCGTTAGTCGAGCAGGTCGTAAGTCGGATGGTAGGTGTACAACCCATTTCAGTTTCCACTATCTTCAGTTATACAAAATTATTATTTTCTCTTACCTGCTTACATCTGAAAGCTGATGCCTACCTAACATTTATTATAAGTACAGTGGCCCCCCTGGATTATGAAATTAAACCGTTCCAGAGAGAGTGACTTAACCCGAATCTGACTTATTCCGAATTAATTTTCCCCATAAGCAATAATGGAAATCCAATTAATTCATTTATGACACCCAAGAGTATTAAAAAAAGTTTTCTACATGAAATATACATTTACCTACACAGAAAACAATGATACATGAAGAATATAACAATAATAACATCACGCTTACCTTTATTGAAGACAGTGTTGTATGGAAGACGGGAGTAGGGGAGAGGATGGAGTTTACAATTGTTAGGAAGGGGAATCCCACTCCATAAAGACTTAAGGTACCAAGTCCTTATCCTGGGTTACTTCCCTCCTTTGTTTTTTAATGCCACAGAATATGTTTTTGCTCTTGGAATAAGCAGAATTCACAAGTAAAACAACTTTGCAGTTTCCTTGCCAAAAAAGCTGATGAAATTTGTATTATCATTTAACAAAGGTCTGCATTTTATATGGTTGAGTAGTTGGTGTATTAAGCAAAGCAAATGGAATGGAAATGAATCAGTTACTTTACAAGTGTGGTTATGAGTGTGGACTGTGGAAAGCAAAGTAATGCAAAGACCATTATCCATATGTAAAGTATATTCCTTATTCCATTCCCTTAATATATATTGACTTCATATAATCAGAACTAATTTAAATATTAGTAAATTCTGTAATTTCTTTTCAGAAAGATGAGTGAATCGCGCATGGAATTTCGTCTGAAGAATACACCTAGTGACTGCATCCAGAGTGTAAAATTTGGGCCGTCTTCATCTCAGTTTCTCTTGGTAGCATCATGGGACAAGAGTGTTCGCCTCTTTGATGTTGTGAACAATAATATGCGACTGCAGTATCAACACTCAGGTCCAGTCCTTGATTGTTGTTTCCAGGCAAGTGGTTACCTAATTGTAGAACAAAAGCAATTATTGTATAAAAAAAAAAAAAAAGCTACAGTTACACCTACCTTTAGGGACAAACTCTGGTAATAGTGGATACCTGATACAGTAGGGCCCCACTTAAATGGCGGGTTAGGTTCCAGGCTATCGCCTGGAAGCAGAACGCCATATTTTCCATTTATAAATGCATATAAGTGCCAGACAACAGGTTCACACTAAATTATATTAAGTTAGTAATAGAACTAGGCATGAAAAACACACAAAGTAAAATGCATAGTAATAGAACTAGGCATGAAAAACACACAAAGTAAAATGCATACACAGTACATTCATTACTTATCTTAAAGTATTTGTAATCTTAATGTAGGGCGAGAGGTGAGTAGTACTTATTTGTAGGAAGTCAGGTGTAGGTAGCCCTGGCTCCCCGTCTCATATTTAATATACGATATTTAAAACGGCCCAGAGAGTTAAAATACACATACAGTACACTCATTATTTACCTTAAAATGTGTAGTCTTAATGTAGGAAGAGAGGTGAGTAGTACAGTGGACCCTCGCCTAATGAACGCATCGCATAACGTTAAATCCGCCTAGCGATACATTTTAACGCAAAAATTTTGCCTCGGCTAGCGCTAAAAAACTCGCTCAACACGATTCGTTCGAGACGCGTCCACGTGCGGCCTGAGTCTGCCTCACTTGTTCCGTGGGTGCCAGTGTTTACAAGCCAGCCACCGCGGTCGCTTCCAAGCATACAATCGGAACATTTCATATTATCACAACCTTTTTAGTGATTGCACCTGCAAAATAAGTCACCATGGGCCCCAAGAAAGCTTCTAGTGCCAACCCTACAGGAAAAAGGGTGAGAATTACTATGCATATGAAGAAAGAGATCATTGCTAAGTATGAAAGTGGAGTGCGTGTCTCCGAGCTGGCCAGGTTGTACACAAAACCCCAATCAACCATCGCTACTATTGTGGCCAAGAAAACGGCAATCAAGGAAGCTGTTCTTGCCAAAGGTGCAACTTTGTTTTCAAAACAGAGATCGCAAGTGATAGAAGATGTTGAGAGACTGTTATTGGTGTGGATAAACGAAAAACAGATAGCAGGACATAGCATCTCTCAAGCGATCATATGTGAAAAGGCAAGGAAGTTGCATGACGATTTAATTAGAAAAATGCCTGCAACTAGTGGTGATGTGAGTGAATTTAAGGCCAGCAAAGGTTGGTTTGAGAGATTTAAGAATCGTAGTGGCATACATAGTGTGATAAGGCATGGCGAGGCTGCCAGTTCGGACCACAAAGCAGCTAAAAAATATGTGCAGGAATTCAAGGAGTACATAGACAGTGAAGGACTGAAACCTGAACAAGTGTTTAATTGTGACGAAACAGGCCTGTTTCGGAAGAAAATGCCAAGCAGGACCTACATTACTCAGGAGGAAAAGGCACTCCCAGGACATAAGCCTATGAAAGAGAGGCTTACTCTGTTGATGTGTGCTAATGCTAGTGGTGATTGCAAAGTGAAGCCTTTATTGGTGTATCACTCTGAAACTCCCAGTGTGTTCAGGAAAAACAATGTCCTCAAGGCTAATTTGTGTGTGCTGTGGAGGGCAAACAGTAAGGCATGGGTCACTAGGGACTTTTTCTATGACTGGTTATACCATGCATTTGCCCACACTGAAAAATTACCTAATTGAAAAGAAATTAGACCTTAAGTGCCTCCTGGTATTAGACAATGCTCCTGGTCATCCTTCAGACGTGGCAGAGCGACTTTCTGCGGAAATTAGCTTCTTTAAGGTCAAGTTTTTGCCTCTTAATACCACTCCTCTCCTGCAGCCCATGGACCAGCAGGTCATTTCCAACTTCAAGAAACTGTATACAAAAGCTCTGTTTGAAAGGTGCTTTGTAGTGACCTCAGAAACTCAATTGACTCTAAGAGAGTTTTGGAGAGATCACTTTAACATCCTCAATTGTGTAAACATTATAGGTAAGACTTGGGAGGAAGTGACTAAGAGGACCTTGAACTCTGCTTGGAAGAAACTGTGGCCAGAATGTGTAGACCAAAGGGATTTTGAAGGGTTTGAGGCTAACCCTGGGAATCCTATGCCAGTTGAAGAATCCATTGTGGCATTGGGGAAGTCCTTGGGGTTGGAGGTTAGTGGGGAGGATGTGGAAGAGTTGGTGGAGGAGGACAATGATGAACTAACCACTGATGAGCTGCTGGATCATCTTCAACAGCAAGAGGCCAGACCTGAGGAAACTGGTTCGGAGGAGGGGAGAGAGAAATTGAAGAAGTTGTCTACTTCAAAGGTTAAGGAAATGTGTGCAATGTGGCTTAAAGTGCAAACCTTTTTTGATGAAAATCACCCTCACACAGCTATTGCAAGCCGTGCTAGTGACTATTACACTGACAATGTTGTGAAACACGTTAGGAATGTCATAAAGGAACGGGAGGTACAGGCCTCTATGGACAGATATGTTGTGCAACAGAGGTCCAGTGACTCTCAAGCTGGTCCTAGTGGCATTAAAAGAAGAAGGGAAGTAACCTCGGAAAAGGACTTGCCACCTCGAGTCCTAATGGAAGGGGATTCCCCTTCTAAACATTAACACCATCCACAGTCTCCCCTCCTCCCATCCCATCAATCATCACCAGATCTTCAATAAAGGTAAGTGTCATGTAACTGTGCATGTCTTCTTCAGTTTGTGTTTTTTTTTTTTTTTTTTTTTTTCCAACAAGTCGGCCGTCTCCCACCGAGGCAGGGTGACCCAAAAAAGAAAGAAAATCCCGAAAAAGAAAATACTTTCATCATCATTCAACAATTTCACCACACTCACACATTATCACTGCTTTTGCAGAGGTGCTCAGATTACAACAGCTTAGAAGCATGTACGTATAAAGATACACAACATATCCCTCCAATATTAATATTAATTAATATTAATATTACATGTAAAATTTTTTTTTTTTTGTTCATACCTTGGGGTGTCAGGAACGGATTAATTTGATTTCCATTATTTCTTATGGGGAAAATTAATTCGGCTAACGATAATTTCGCCTAACGTTGAGCTCTCAGGAACGGATTAATAGCGTTAGGTGAGGGTCCACTGTATTTATTTGTGGGAAGTCAGTGTAGGTAGCCTGTAGGTGTAGCCCGCCTGGGCTACACCTACCGGCTACCTACATTGTGGCCCAGAGCCGTATTATTAGCATTGACATACCTTGTTCGCTGAATTTAATCGCTTCTAGTAAACTACCTTTAGATGCCATCATAAACGATGGGAGAAGTAATGAATAATTCATGCCGAAAATTGTAAACAAAAGCGGGGTGGGGGAGTGGCTGGGCCAAACGCAGATTCATGCACGTTTTCTCTGGTGCCTGACCAGAGAAAATTTAATGTTGTCCCTCCGCCCGGCTACCACACAGGTTCACAAGTATTATCAGAGCACATATAAAATACGCAATAAATGCCAGACAACAAGTGTACACTAACTTATATTAAGTTAGCAATAGAAATAGGCATTAATAACACAAAAGTAAGATATACACAGAGTACACTTATTACTTACCTTAAAATATTAATATTAATGTGTGAGAGGTGAGTGGCAGGGTGTTTATTGAATAAAATCAGAATGGCACACCATCATCCTCTAACTTGGCACTTAAAGCAAGAGTTTTATGACTCTTTTTATCACAGCTAAGCTTAGACGCCATCATCAATAAGAGCCAACTAGTTAACGAAAGAGTAAACGAGAGAGAAAACAAGATACAGAGTTCAGACAATGTAAGAACACAAACTGAACAGGTAGTGGGTGATCACTTTGTCAGGCGAAACAAATGCGTATTAATGTGTGTGTACTTATAGTTCATTCACGTACGTTTGTAAGAGTTTGTAAAGCTTTTACCTCACAATATTTTTTTTTATTTTAATAATTACCTCACAATACAAATACTCTTACATTGTGTACAAGTTCTACAAGTTAGTATGTACAGAATAAATAAACAGCAACACTCTCATTCTCATGCAACACACCATTTTTAGATGAACAAAGATGATGATATTATCATCGTAATAAAAAAGCGCTAAACCCACAAGTGTCTTGAATTGCTATATATAGAGTACAGGCATACGAAAGGAATATTTTTCTACAGTTATCCCTCAGTGTTTGACTAGAGAAGACGTAATTCTTCCGACACTACCTACACAGCCGCTTTGTAAACAAATCTCATATTTACGTAAATTTTATTTAGTTAGTGTATCATGTTTATATGCTATGTAACGTGTTTCTTATATAATTTTGAGGAAAATATCGTAGATGGATTAATGAAAATGTCTATATTAATGTAAAATAAGACATTTAGTGTGCCCAAGAGTGATGATTATTACGTACTATTGGCGTCATGAGTAGAGAGAGACTTAGTGATTTTAATATGTACCTGCATACCAGCACAGTGTGTAAGTATATTTAGGTACAGGTACACAAGTATAATTATCAGAGTATGTACATATAAAATACACAGTAACTGTAAAACACTTGAAATTTTGGAAAGTTTCCAGACATAATAGATGTGGTCACGGAGAACGTAAACAAACAGTAAAGACCGCCTCCCGTATAGCAAATTTTGATCATAATTTGACATCATAGTATTAGCGGGATGCCGTAAGGGCCCTACTGTATATAATTTTCCTGTGGTGTAGCCAAAGATTCCTGGGAGCAGCAGGCACGTAAGTATTACTACCCCATCTGAGTGTATGTTTTGTTTTAGGAGTACCTGGTATATATTTTGTGCCTGTAGTATGGTGCTGTGGATGATAATCAGGTGAATGGTTATTAGGTTTAAGTACTGTTGCATCTGGCAGGTAACTGAATAGGCAACTGCTAGGATCCTGCTTGTTGGAGGGCTAGGGGGACTGTAATAAACCACTGGCTCGTTCCCAACACTGTTATGGTATCTCATTAATCAAATTCCAATTCACTCACCACCAGTTATTGAAGAGTAATGATTGTAATGGTGTTGTGAATGTAAATAAAGAAATGGGTGTTCATGCATGCATATTTGTCCAAGTTTGCATTATGTTGTTGCCTCAATAATTGACTGGTAGATGTGCTTTAACCTTATTAATATGTATTCTAACTCAACTCATTGTATTATTCACTTTGTTAATTAAGCTTATTCCTTTTGTTTACAGGATGCAGTACATGCTTATAGTGGAGGCTTAGATGGTCAGCTCAAGACCTTTGATCTAAACACTAATACAGAATCTGTAGTTGGTGCCCATGAGGCACCAATAAGGTAAGCAGTCATTATATTTGGATTGACTTATTCACTTTGAGGGCTTCCCCATCCTCATAGGCAGGGTTATATCTAGCATCTTCCTTGGATTCCTAAAAATGTGCCTGGAAACATTTTGGTTATTAGGAAAGTGTAACAGTCACTGATGATGAAGAGGGGGACTGAAGGGACTTCAGTCTTCCAAAAATTCTCCCCAAAGCCCTCCAAATAAAAAAAGTAATTAATAATAGTGCTGCTTCAAAACAGTCTCCTAGCTTTCTTTTCCAACATGGCCATCCCCTACTTTCCAAAAGTATGCTGACATCACAATCCGATTATCCCTCCAACTTTAACATTCCCATTCCTTCTTCAGAGTGCAGCCATTGCCCTTCCTTCCTCTAGGATTCAAGTCTGGCTAATTGGTTTCCTTGAATCCCTTCATAAAAGTTACCCTGCTCACACTCCAACAGCACATCCTTAAAAAATACACTTGTTCCCATTAATTCCTATCTAACACATTCACACAAGTCTGCTGGATGCTCAAGCAGGCCTTCTTTGCCAGCCAATTCCTGTTCATCTTTTCTAGATGTCCAAACCTCCTTATCCCCTTTCAACTCGGAATTATTCTCTTGGTCACCTCGCACTGCCATTTAATTTCTAAGCTCTGAATTCTCCACACCACACACAATATCTCTGCCTCCAGCCTTCTTTTTCCAGCAGCATTCAAAACCCATGTCTTCCACCCTTATAAAACTATTGGCTCTGCTTTTGCCTCCATATATAAACATCTTTTTTTTCACTCATACTTCAACAAACCACCCACCTTTTTCCACCCATCTGTTCTATAGTTCACCTCAGCTTTCATTGATCCATTTGCAGACATGTCCATTTTTAAATATCACAATACATGTACATCCACTTCCATACACTTTCCTTCCAATCTGATATTCAATCTTGCTCTTTTCTATGCTCATTTTTAATTTCCTTCTTTTTTATACATTCCCAAATTCATCTACCAACTTTTGTAATTTACTTTCAGAATCCCCTACTGGAATTATCATCAGCAAAGAGCATCCGGGATAACTCCCACTTTGTATCTGATCAAACATCCTTCAAGCCCAACACAACCCCAGTCTATAAATGTTAAAAAAAAAAACATGGTAACATCTCTATCTAATTTCTATTTTCACTGGGAAATAGACCTCCTCCTTACATTCCCTAACTTGAGCCTCCCTTTGTGCATAAAAGCTCTTAACTGCTTACAGTAACCCACCTATGCCATAGATTGGAAACATTTGCCACATGGCTCTGCTATGTGGTAAATGTTTCCAATGTATGGAATATTCTTTTTCTAAATTCATAAATTCGCCAACATCTTGCCCTTATCAAAGTACGGCTCACTTGCATGATTCATTGTAAACACTTGGTCTGTGCATCCCTTACCTTTTCTAAAACCCTCACTGCTCCTCTGCAATCTTACTTTGTCTTATTACTAACCTTTCAATAATAACTCTGCCATAAACTTTACCTGGAATACTCAACACTACCATAAACTTTACCTGGAATAATTAGCACTCTACATAAACTTTACCAGGAATGCTCGACAGGCTTCTTTCTTTAAAGAAATCGGCTGTATCCCACTGAGGCAGGGTGGCTCAAAAGGAAAAAATGAAAGTGTCTCCTTTTAAATTTAGTAATACATGCAGAAGAGGTTACTAGTCCCTTGCTCCTGGCATTTTAGTCACCTCTTACGACATGCATGGCTTATGGAGGAAGAATTCTGTTTCACTTCCCTATGGAGATAAGAGGAGATAAACAAGAACTAGTAAGAAAATAGAAGATAACCCAGAGGGGTGTGTATATATATGCTTGTACATGCATGTGTAGTGTGACCTAAGTGTAAATGTAAGTAGAAGTAGCAAGATGTACCTGAAATCTTGCATGTTTGAGACAGAAAAAAGACATGAGCAATCCCACCATCATGTAAAACAATTAAAGGCTTTCGTGTTACACTCACTTGGCAGGATGGTAGTACCTTCCTGGGTGGTTGCTGTCTGCCAACGTACTACGTAGGGCTCGGCAGTCTTCTTTCTTTCAACACACCAGCCATATCCCACCAAGGCAGGTTGGCCCAAAAAGAAAAATGAAAGTTTCTCTTTTAAATTTAGTAATTTATACGGGAGAAGGGGTTACTAGCCCCTTGCTCCCGGCATTTTAGTTGCCTCTTACAACACGCATGGCTTACAGAGGAAGAATTCTGTTCCACTTCCCCATGGAGATAAAAGGAAATAAACAAGAACAAGAACTAGAAAGAAAATAGAAGAACACCCAGAGGGGTGTGTATATATATGTTTGTACAGTGGACCCCCGCATAACGATATTAATCCGTTCATGAGAGCTCATTGTTATGCGAAATTATCGTTATGCGAATGAATTTTCCCCATAAGAAATAATGGAAATCAAATTAATCCGTGCAAGGCACCCCAAAGTATGAAAAAAAAACATTTTTACCACATGAAATATTAATTTTAATACACACAAACTGAAAAAGGCATTCACAATTACATGACACTTACCTTTATTGAAGATCTGGTGATGATTGATGGGATGGGAGGAGGAGAGAGTCTTAGTGTTTAGAAGGGGAATCCCCTTCCATTAAGACTTGAGGTGTCAAGTCCTTTTCTGGGGTTACTTCCCTTCTTCTTTTAATGCCACTAGGACCAGCTTCAGAGTCACTGGACTTTTGTCGTACAACATATCTGTTCATAGAGGCCTGTACCTCTCGTTCCTTTATGACTTCCCTAAAGTGTTTCACAACTTTGTCAGTGTAATAGTCACCAGCACGGCTTGCAATAGCTGTGTGAGGGTGATTTTCATCCATAAAGGTTTGCACTTTCAGCCACATTGCACAGATTTCCTTAATCTTTGTAGTAGGCAACTTCTTCAATTTCTCTCTCCCCTCCTCCGAACAAGTTTCCTCAGGTCTGGCCTCTTGCTGTTGAAGTTGATCTAGCAGCTCATCAGTGGTTAGTTCTTCATTGTCCTCCTCCACCAACTCTTCCACATCATCCCCACTAACCTCCAACCCCAAGGACTTCCCCAATGCCACAATTGATTCCTCAACTGGCATAGGATTCCTAGGGTTAGCCTCAAACCCTTCAAAATCCCTTTGGTCTACACATTCTGGCCACAGTTTCTTCCAAGCAGAGTTCAAGGTCCTCTTAGTCACTCCCTCCCAAGCCTTACCTATAAGGTTTACACAATTGAGGATATTAAAGTGCTCTCTCCAAAACTCTCTTAGAGTCAGTTGAGTTTCTGAGGTCACTACAAAGCACCTTTCAAACAGAGCTTTTGTGTACAGTTTTTTGAAGTTTGCAATAACCTGTTGGTCCTTGGGCTGCAGGAGAGGAGTGGTATTAGGAGGCAAAAACTTGACCTTAATGAAGCTCATGTCCCCATAAAGTCGCTCTGCCACGTCTGTAGGATGACCAGGGGCATTGTCTAACACCAGGAGGCACATAAGGTCTAATTTCTTTTCAGTTAGGTAATCTTTCACATTGGGGGCAAATGCATGGTGTAACCAGTCATAGAAAAAGTCCCTAGTGACCCATGCCTTACTGTTTGCCCTCCACAGCACACACAAATTAGCAAATTAGCCTTGAGGATATTCTTTTGCCTGAACACTCTGGGAGTTTCTGAGTGATACACTAATAAAGGCTTCACTTTGCAATCACCACTAGCATTGGAACACATCAACAGAGTAAGCCTGTCTTTCATAGGCTTATGTCCTGGGAGTGCCTTTTCCTCCTGAGTAATGTAGGTCCTGCTTGGCATTTTCTTCCAAAACAGGCCTGTTTCATCACAATTAAACACTTGTTCAGGTTTCAGTCCTTCACTGTCTATGTACTCCTTGAATTCCTGCACATATTCTTCAGCTGTTTTTGTGGTCCGAACTGGCAGCCTCACCATGCCTTATCACACTATGTATGCCACTACGCTTCTTAAATCTCTCAAACCAACCTTTGCTGGCCTTAAATTCACTCACATCATCACTAGTTGCAGGCATTTTTTTTTAAATTTAAATCCTGATGCAACTTCCTAGCCTTTTCACTTATGATCACTTGAGAGATGCTATCTCCTGCTATCTGTTTTTCATTTATCCACACCAATAAGAGTCTCTCAACATCTTCCATCACTTGCGATCTCTGTTTCGAAAACACAGTTGAACCTTTGGCAAGAACAGCTTCCTTGATTGCCTTTTTGTTGTCCACAATAGTAGCGATAGTTGATTGGGGTTTATTATACAACCTGGTCAGCTCGGAGACACGCACTCCACTTACATACTTATCAATGATCTCTTTCTTCATCTCTATAGTAATTCTCACCCTTATTCCTGTAGGGTTGGCACTAGAAGCTTTCTTGGGGCCCATGGTGACTTATTTTGCAGATAAAATCACCAAAAACACTGTAATAATACGAAATGTTCCGATTGTATGCTTGGATGTTACCGCAGAGGCTGGCTGGTAAACAATGCCACCGGCGGAACATGTGAGGCTGGCTAAGGCCGCACATTAGACGCATCTTGGACGAACAGCGTTGAGCGGATATTTTAGCGGTATGCGAGGCAAAATCTTAGCGATAAAATGTATCGGTATGCGGATTTAACGTTATGTAAGGCCAACGGTATGCGGGGGTCCACTGTACATGTATGTGTAGTGTGACCTAAGTGCAAGTAGAAGTAGCAAGACATACCTGAAATCTTGTATGTTTATGAGACAGACAAAAGACACCAGCAATCCTACCATCATGTAAAACAATTACAAGCTTTTGTTTTACATTCACTTGGCAGGATGGTAGTACCTTTCTGGGTGGTTGCTGTCTGCCAACCTACTACGTAGGGCTTGGCAGTCTTATCCCCCTATAAATTTTAAATATTTAAATTTTTTTTTAATGTACAGTATACCGTATATGAGGGTCCCGCTTATATAGTAGGTTGGGTTCTGGGCTATCGCTCTGAAGCG